CAATCATTAATTCATCTTCAAGACTCATATATACCTCAAACTACTTGCTAAATTGGTTTGTTTGCTTTTAAATTATACAAACATGCTAAAATGCAGATTCTTATAGCAACAGAAAATTCAGGAAATCAAGCAACGAGAACGTATGACTGTACGCTTTGAAATATTTTTATTTTCTCGCGGGGTTCGCCGGTTCGGGCGTAGTTTTATTTCACGCATACGTTTCTGTTCTGGCTCTGATATTTATAATATGCTTATAATATACCAATGAATTGTTCTGATATGGACATGGTATAAATTTTGTTAAACAGATGTCTCAAAAGCGACTGTTTATAGGTCGTAGAATTAGCGCCTTGCCGGTCTTAAACGTGACACATTTGGACACAAGCCAAATACACATTGAATGTCCATTCTATTGATTCTAAAACTGTTTATAGACATATTGCTCTAGATTTTTTTTAAAAGGTTATCATCGTTTATATTAAACACCAGGAAGACAAAATATAACGTACAAAATTGTTTGAAATCGACAGTGCACAGCTGACATACAATTCAAAACTGCATGAATTTCCTTTTTTGTCTGCACGAGTACCTGTCTGTTGAAGCCTGAAATATTGCACAGCATCTCCTATAAATTCTACCGCCATTTACCCTCTCCCCTTAAATGCAAAGGAATGCCAGCCGAAAAGGTTTAGCAAAGTATTTTTTTATTATATCTGGTATAAAGTCTCCTACGTTTTATCAGGGATATACATAATTCATAAACTGTATATGCACACGAAGTCTCGCTTATATTACTGAGTTTTACTGTAACAAACCTTTAAAGTTTCCATTGATAGATAGGTTGTTTGCCTCCAGTATTGTTTGGTAAAATAGACTAAACTTCTAGAATGTCGATTACAGTATACGATAAAGATTAAAGTTCATTTAAATATTGATAACTCACAGCGGCATTAATCCATTATACAAGTCTAAAGAAGCTGGATTATTCTTCAATAAAGCCTTCAATCGACAATGTCAATGAAAGGTCTAATATTATACATGTTGCAAATTACTGTATATACAAAATATGAAATAATTTATATAAAGTACAATACCAGTGTCTGGTGCATATTTATTATCGTCCTAGATATTCAAGTTGTACCGCACGCACGCACGGAAACGCACGGAGGAGTCTTGGCGTTTGTGTGATAACGGATAGCTAGCTACACTTCGACATTATCTTTCTTGATCGTTGAGTTTCAGCAATGTAAATGAAATGAATTTTATAGCCAGTCCATAATGGTTTTTAATCCTGTGCTTTTACAGTCAAAATAGCACTATTGTTTACACATGTTGACGATGTTTGGGAAATCAAAGGATCCCGTTATAAAATAAATCTTTTGTTTTGAATATCGGACAGGATACACTTCAACTATAAAGAACCATATCGTTCGTTTAATACCGTTTGATCGATCAGTCTGTGTAGAAGATACTGATGTATGTTTCTACGGCGATACGTGCTCAACTTCGCAAGCCAGGCGCGTGTGGAGTGTTTTCCTTGCAAGTGAAATATGATCCAGCTTCTCGCTTGAAATGTAACACAGGAAGTCAGCAGGAAGTCTTGTCATGATCGGTACGAATTTAGAACAGTTCCTTTCACAATCTATTGCTGCAAATTACATTTTTATCACCCAAAATTATAACACATAAAGTTGCAATTTTCTAAACGCAACAAACAGACTACTCTACTACCCCTCCCTGAGATCAAATTCAATTTACCCCCAAAATCTGGGGGTTCACGTGACCAGCTCCGACCAGGGTCTTTGCTTCCCAAGAGCAAAGAGCCTGGGAACGAGGTTGGCATGTTTCATCGTACTTAAAGGAATCCCGCTTTATATACAATCAATGACGCATAGTCATATGATATATAAATCATAAAGGCATATATGTTTCCTCCTTCCTAAAAAAACCCGCTTTATACATTCAGTGACTGACACATAGTCATATATGATACATAAGTCATAAAGGCATGCATATGTTTCCTTGTTCTTAAAAAAATCCCTCTTTATACATAAGACATGTACATGTACTCACTGATATTCACTCAAACACTCCCTATACAGTATACATACTTTAAATTTGACTATATACCGATAATACGTATATTGAGTATATATGTATACACTATTTAGCCTACATACACAGTATACACTGTATATAGCTACTCTTTGACATTCAGTCAAACAGGCAATATGACACTATATATACTCTTTGACATTCACTTAAACACTCACTATTTACATTTCTGACAATATACTGATAAAATATATATATATATATATATGACATTCACTCACTCACTATATATACAACGTACCATACAATTTTGACAATACATTGTCTATTGTGAATATGTATATAGGCTGCAGAATATGCACAATATATCCTACATGTCTATAGTGTATACATATACACAATATACAACCTATTCTGTATATATACACACTATTTACACAATAGACATAAAGTGTAGGCTATATTCTGCAATATCTGGGCATGCTCGAAATAGTAGGAGTTATTTTATATTTTTCATAATAAATACACCTTACGAAATCTTTCGCAGGTATCAGTTACATTAATAATATACCTGAATTCAGTGTCAACACGAATTTTGTGCTCATGCCACATCAATATTAATCAATATCATATTTATGTGGAACACTGCACTGTAAATCAGTTTGAATTAGTATGCACACGAGTGCATGCCAATGAACCATTCACTGATCTGCAAATGAGCTGTATATGTAAATACATAAAGCCGTGGATCAATGGACAAAATATTAGTGTTAAAATTAGCTGTAATTTCAAAAGTCAATCCATAATAGTAAATAGCTTTTAACAACAGTATCATGTTCAATCTAGGTCATTGGTATTGTTTAATATATGACGGCCTGTCTGGTTCAATGATAATACAATCATAATAGGGAATAGTACAATTTCTTCTTCCAATTGTCTGAGGACCTGAACCGTCTGGTTCCCTGCAAACACCATCTGGCACGACCTTAAGACCTTGAATAGACTATCTAATATTATTACAGTCATATACAAGTATTATAATAATACATACAATTAAACCTCATATTAACTGAAAATAATTTCACTAACTGGTTGTAGATGCCTGTTCCTCTGTATATTTTGCAAGCTCTTGTAGTTCCTGACTTTTGGACGAAATTTGATAGACGGCCTGGTTTAAATTTGCTTCCCAACATTGAATTTCCTTCCTCTGACTGATCACTTCTGCTCGACGTGCCTTGAGATTGTATACAGGAGAATTCACCCAGAATTTGTGAGACTGCTTTTCAGAATTACATTTTCCTCTATGATTTGAACTCTTATTACACCTTTTACCTTTTCTACATGTAGATAATGGGCTGTAAATATCAATACACATTATAAATAAATGAAAATTAACGATATACTTCGAGACGAAGGAATCCAATATGGCGAACGCATATTGCTATAAATATGCAAATGAACACAATTTCGAACGAAGTTCCTTACCTATTTCCTGAGGTTGATCCCAGTTTAAATGAAACAAAATACGATGATTTCCAACTTTGATTTTAGTTTTTCTTCCGAGAATGAGATTTAACAAAGTTATCGCGATTATTCGACGAAAATATGGCGAAATTTCCGGTTTTATTGAATTTACACGGAATATATACACTACTAAGGGGGAGAATAAAAGTGAAAATGTGTTATTTCACTTTGCCTTTCCTAGGGGACCCTTCATTGTATATTTTGTCGTAAGCAGTCGCCATAGAAACACGAAATCTGTCTTAAGGTAGGGTCAGTTCGACGGGAATTTTAAACTTATTTTGCAACATATTGGGAAAATTGACAACATATATCACTTTCGAGAGTGTAGTTTGTTCTATTAAAATATTTAAAAAACAATTTCACTGCGACAAAAGCTTGAAAAGCTCAAAATAATACCTAGCTACTTCGCCACTCATATAAATTGCTTGCGCCATTGTTTACGTGTCACGTGACCAACCAGTTGATGCGGGAGGAAAATAGCAACCGACCACAGTGATACAGTACATGTAGTTTAAGTGATGATGCATGGTCATACAAAATTATCAAAAGTTTCCAAAGCATACAAAACATAAAGAACTTTCACTCACAAATCATTTAATTGTTGATCCTGTGGTGAAGCATTATATGTTCTTGACTAGCACTTAATGTTTGGTGAATGCAAATCCTTATGATCGATAAAGTTATAGCACATGTCATACGGCAAGCTATGCAAGCTTTAGTATTTTATTCTGTCTAACAAAAATTTTACTTTGCAGTTGTAGTGTCAGTATGGATGAACAAAACTAAATGTCAATATTAGTCTTGTTACCACATTAGCTTATGGCCTGCAAAATATCTAGTATAATATTATATAAAGCCCTCAACACTATTTAGTTGCTTTTCAAAATGTTGAAAATTTTTGCATGACCCCTACTTTGAATCTATTTTATCAAAATTTATCATATAATGTTTCATGGAGAAAATATAAATCAATTTGAAAACCTTGATTTATGTTTTGCCAAAAGTTCTTCCTTGGAAGGTTTGGGCTGTAGTGCAATATTTGTTGCAATCCTTTGTGGATCATCTGCAGCAAGTGTCAACTTCTGGGTAACATGTCCTAGTGTTGTCTTCCTTTTTTTGAAAATGGCTACAAGCAATTCTGGAATATACTTGTATTCCTTTGGTTGAAGAATGGGTACCACACATTATACCTTGGTCCTTTTACCATAATGATGTTTGTACCTTTTAACATAACAGAAATAATCTTATAAATTACTGTATAAAAATGCTTCAAAATTCAATTGACAGTATGGGTATACCGCATATTCGAACACAGAGCTTTGGTAATAGAACATCTTAACTTAGGACACAGCCAGACCAAATGGCTATCATTTTTCATTTGGTACATTTGACCTTTTCATAAGCATAATTACTTATATTACCTGGGTGTCTCATCTGCTGTTTTGGCTATTTCTCGACTCCTGTGTTTGTTAAAGTCAATTGCTGCTAGTTGGTTCCTTAGCTTGTATCCAATAATCCTATAAAAAAGAAGCAATAATCATTGTGATGGTGTATCTTAGGACATAAATGTCTCAATGTCATTGTAAAACCGCGGCCAGTTACTGGGTTAAGAAACTATTTTTATCACACACCGTAAATAAATTGAACTCACAATTTGTACTTACGTGTAAGAAAGGCGTTTGGGACAATACATCAGCAAATGATTGTGAAAGGACTCCAAAAATCCAGTGTGTCTATACAAGAATGTGAACACTGTATTATATATGATACGACCTTGATGATTCCTATATCAATGAAATGGACTAAAGTGTCTTTTTGAGATGAAAATCTATTTTGTACGGTACAGTGGCGGAAATCTAAGTTGGGGGGGGGGTGTTCCCCCCGCCCCCACCTTCACAGACAAATGACAAATTTTTAAAAATTTTGGCCTATAAGAGGGCTAAAACGGCCATTCCAAATATGAGCGTGGCCACAGCAACTGAGGTTTGCCAGAAATTTGAAAGTTTGTTCAGCAATTTACACTGCTTCCACCTGCAGAAAATGTTAATTTCTGCCACTGGTAAGGTTTGCTTATTTAACTGCACATTTTACACTAACCTAAAATTGGTGTAGTAGTGCAATTCATTTAGCAGTCGCTTGTGCAAAATTATTTGTCTTAAGGCTTTGTGTGGAGAGGAATCCTTTAGCAGCCAAGGTTTTGACCTTTCTTCTTCTGTCAACACACTATGGTCACATTTCCCCTGTCCTATTCCGTCATTCAGCACCCACTGATGTTCATCAACCACATGGTGGAGCAAGCCAATCCACAAGTCCTATTGAATAGATTACAATGTTAAAATTCAAGACACTTAATGAAGCTAATTAGCCAAATTGCCGCTAATGATAACGAATCAAGTTTGGAACCACAAATATCCGGCAATATTTTGCAAGTCCTTACAGTATTTACCAACATAAAAATAATGTTACATAGTTTTTTAACATATTATATACACCTTGAAATCTGCTGTACTACCACCACACTTTCGACTGCAGTACCAAAAATGGTTTCTGACCGAAGCAATCCAGTGCGAGAGATCTTCATTTCCCTTCTCATTAGCAGCCTACAGTAAAAAATGCAAATCATTACTTATAGAAATTGATACAAACATTGCGCTGCAAAAATCATACATACAGTGATAACCTTCTTAGCAAGGTTTTTTGCTCCATGCCAAACATCTCGTTGATGTAACACATCTTTGTACTTTGGTGCATTTTCTGAAAAAAAAAATTCACATTTAAAATTAATCGATTGAAG